CTCTATTCAATAGCATAATGAAACAATGACATCGTTAGCCTATCATCTTGCTGCTATCTCTTTTTAAATATGATTGTCTCTCTACCTTCAGTATGTTCATGCTGTTGTTACACACCCCTCCACCTCCCCATTTCCTCCCAGTCTTCATCAGATTCATCACCTCATCATTCTATCAGCCACCACCACCACCAGTGTGTGGACTCCACGGGGGGGTCATCTTGCTGCTGCTCAGGGCAGATGCCCCTCGATTACAAATCTCCCTGTAGAGTCCAAGCACCAAAGACTCTGTCAAGACTTTATCATCAAATATCATCTGTTTATAATAAACAGTTAAAACTTAACTGATTAAACTGCAGCATCAATAGATTGTTGTCTATCTTATCACCGTGCTCAATATTTCCTTATTGCCCATCTTGGACACATCACATTACATCCATTTGGGTGCTGACTGCAAGACAATCTCACTGGAGTAAGCTTACTTAAAATTGAGACCAGGGGTGAAACAAAGTCAAAACAGAGAAAAGAATATGAATTGAGACTTTAACCAAAATATTTTTGTTATGACATCATAGACTACTTTTCCTGCTGATATTACAAGAGAAAAGAGAGATTTATTTGCAAATAGAAAGGCCGGCTTACAGAAGAGTCTGTTACCACTCATTTTAGGAAACATAGGTTTGAGGGAACATAGTGTTGAAGGAACAGAGGCTTGTGAGAACATAGGGCAGAGGAAACATAAGGTTGAGGTAACTTAAGGCTGAAAAAACATAGGGCATGCATGCTGAGGGAACATAGAGCCAAGGAAACATAGTGCTGACGGACAATACGGGCCGTGGTAACGTAGGGTTGAAGGAACACAGGGCCAAAGACATAAAAAGTTGAAAAGATATATGGGCCGAGGTAACATAGGGTTGTTTCCTCAAACCTATGGTCCCTTAGCCCTATGTTACAGCTGCGGGAACATAGGTTCAAGGGAACATTGAAACACCCCCCATTAAACTTGTCACAACTCGTGTGTCTGTGCTGGAGGAGAAGATTCTTTATTCAGCTTCTTCTTAAATTATGGAGGATTGGTCTCTATGCCTTGAGAAGACAGACAGCTAGCCTGGACGTTGGCTAGCTTCCATCAAAACAGTAGAAACACGTCTCCCGGTAATTCTTAAGTTGTTTTATTTGCATGTTGTTTGTTGGTAGCTCCCTTGCTAATGTTAAGAAACTGGTGACCCTACATTAGTGAACCACATAGCATTAGTTTTCAGAGTTCACCCTGTGGATGGGACTTCTGCAGAGCTGTGTGCATTCATTGAAACTAAGCTAGCCGTTGATGGTCATTAAAATCCTCCAAACTGCAGGCTGGCTGCTTGTTGAAACTGCATCTCTCGTTTTATATTTCAACACTTTTGTGTTTTAAACAAAGTGCATTGCAACAATCAGCAGGCAAGCAAGCATCCTAATGTGCACGCATTGAGATCAGCTGAACCCCTGTGTTGCTAAATGACTTGGCACAACATTGTTCGTCTGAAAATAGTTGATTTGTAGCTTGTTGCCAGGGTTTACAAACAGTTGCTAAATCTAGTGTCAAAGTCAACAGCCTGGCAATAGTGATATGAACAGCGTGTTAAGTCTAGATAAAAAGTAAAAGTCTTCACGAACTATTTAAGGGCTAAATCATTGCTTTGTTAACTATTAGTTAGGTCTGTGTATATATATATATATATATATATATAAAGCTTATCTACAATAATACACACATTTTCAGGACATAAACTAAAGAAAGTTGAAGCTTGTGTTACAAGTTGGACAGTCATTTTCCCTTCAACAGTCCCACCAAATAAAATTCATGTAGTTACGTATCTTTTTATCACCAACCTCATTTGAAAGACCTTTGAATGGGCAGCTTTTTCAAGAGTAAAAAAAAAAAAGAAGAGTCGGCAGAAGGGTGGCTGCAGGACAGTTTCCCAACTGTTGACTTTCCACTTAAAAAATTGCTCATGAAAATCAGAGGCGGGTTACACCACACTGGCGGGAGGGACTGGAAAATGCTGCCTGTAATCTCTTTCCCTCCTCCTCCCTCTAACAGTGCAAATGCTTACATGAATTAACACACACACACACACACACACACACACACACACACACACACACACTAACACCTCATGTTGCAAGAGTTTTCATCCAGGCTGGTAGATATGTGAGACGCTGTCAAACTGATACGACTGAGAAGAGGCAGAGACAGGCATGAAGTAACATTTCACTCAATTTATTTTTCACTCAGTGTAATTCAACTGCATGGTGTCCATGCATAACACATTCAATGACGCTTTCTGTACTCAAAAAACAAAAACTATTACCTACATATGAATGTGTTTGACCATAGCCACTTCATGTGTTTTGGGCTGATAGCTTTATCCGATATATTTTTAAAAGCCAAGTGAAAATGAAAAAAAAGATGAGAATTGGTGTATTTGGCCCATCATTCTATTCTTGTGGAGATATTTAATTCTCAGACAGAAGAAAAAACAGACACACACACACAACCATCACAGCATACACACACACACAACCTTGTACTTCTATCTTTCTGAGGACACTAATGCATTCCCTAGCCCCTTACCCTAACTTTAACCATCACAACTTAATGTCTAACCCCAACCCTTACCCTAACACCGACCGACACCTAGCTGTACACACATACAGAGACATTTAGACTGTGTGACTCAAGCCCTGCCATGTAACTCTTAAAGTCACAGTCAGAACACTTTCCAGACATTCCTCCTTCCCCATTCAGTGTTCCTCATTCCATCATCCAGTTCATTCATGAACTCTGATTCATCTGCTTTGGCGTAAAGAAAATGTCTTGTTCCTATTAAGTGACTGTGTAAACAGTGATGGGGCTGGATGTTTTAACCTGACTTCCTGCTTGTTAGGGGGTGGAATGAGCAAACTGGAAATCAAAGGCAACACTATTCAGGTTAGTTTTGAGGGTCAGTTTCTTTCTTTTGCAGTTTGGGTGACTTGACACTTTAAATTGTACAAACAGTCTAATCTAAGTTAAAGCTGCATTGATCAATGTTTTGGCCAATTGACCACACAAACCAATCTGTAAACACACAGACCAACATTAGCATTCATTTTGAGTTGTCTTTGTGTCCATCTGATGAATATGGGTCCAATATTTACTTCCTTTTAACTCTGTTTTGTTCTCCACCAACTCTTGAAAAAATGTAATATTAGCTTTAAGCTGCTAAATGCTCCACTATGTTTAGCAGCTAGTTTCTAACTGTGTCTGTCTGTTGTTTGGTGCTGAGCAGGTGGTGTACAGTGGGTTTATCAGAGTGTTTTGATTAAAATATCTAGCTGCTGCTGCTGCTGGAAGCCAGGTTGATTAGAGCTCTGAGACTGAACAGCACTGTTAAGTTGTAGGCCATAAACTAAAACAAGCAGAAAGGACCTAGAAAGTGTCATAGAGTTGAGGAGCTAGGTGGGTAGTTTGGTAGGTAGAAAGGCTGATAAACAGGCAGGTAGGTAGGTAGTTAGTTAGCTAGATAGGCAGGTGGTAAGACCTCATAGTTAGGCAGGTAGACAGGCAGGTAGGTAGACCTCTCTTTATACATCCAAAAAATATGTATAAAGGTAGACAGGTAGGTAGCCTGTCAATCAATGCATTTGGACCAAATGCATTGATTGACAGGCTTTGGAGGGGCTTTTTACAGTCCTGAGACAGCCACCAGATATTATTTCCTTTTTTTGTTGGAGCATTTGATTTATTGATTGATGTAATGAGAATTTCAACAAAAATGTTTTCGAAGAAGATTACAACTGTAAAACTGTGACTGTGGCTCAGTGGTAGAGGAGGTTGTCCTTCAGGCTTCATCCACACTAATACATCTTTGTTTAAAGCCGGGGTTTTAAAAACAAAAATGATCTCCGTCCACACGGGCATGATTACAGCATCATTAGCGAAATGATTTCCGTCCATACTAGCAAGCCTGTAAACAAATATCACATGACTATTCACGTACACTGGGCATGAGGGTGCCGGTGTAAACAGGAATTAGATTGGTTGCGTAGTTACAGAAAATATGAGTATTATAGTACTCTGTAATAATAAAAGCTGGTGCTTGATACTTAAGATCTTCCTCTATATCAGGGGTGGGCAAATGTTTTTGTGAAACAAGCACTGGGGCCAGGCCAATAGATTGAACTCAATCCTGCTCAATATTATTCCACATCTTTATAAAAAGCAGTAAATTGTATGGTTTTGATAAGCTGTGAGTGGTAAGAGTAAATATTATGATCAGTGGTGGAATATAACTAAGTATATTTCCTGTGAGGAGAGAGAGCACAAAGATTCCGGGAAAGAAGCAAAGTTAGTAATGTGCATTAATGGGACATGACTTCATACAGATGGGAGTCTTAGGAGGAAGTCTTTAATCGTTTTCCTGACCACAATAACAGAACAGCTGCTGTCAGTTCTCTGAGAAACCTCTCTTCATTAATTTCCTGACAGATGCTAAGCCTACATATATGTAATTCTTCTGGCTTTGAATGGAGAGTAATAATACAGTAATAATGCATGATGAAGTGGATGACTACACCAAACAAGCTTATCGTGGCGGCCATGGCTCAATGGGTAGAGAGGGTCGTCCAGCACCTGCAACGTCCAAGGTTCGATCCTTAGCTGCTACGAGTCCTGTGTCAAGCAAGACACTGAAACCCTAACTGTTCCCCGGGTGCTTCTCAGCAGCCCACTGCTCCCAATAAGCTAGGGATGCGTTAAAGGCAGAATTTACATTTCATGTTCATATATATATATATATATATATATATATATATATATATATATATATATATATTATTATTTTTTTTTTTTTTTTTGCATGATCATGTTACATCTAAGTCAGCTTAATCTGACATCATTTTTACACTGAAAGGATAAGCTTTCAAACTCGTTGACATTCAATAAAAAAACAAGGTATTTTCAAAATAAATATGTTTTAATACATACACTAGAAACAACAAAAAGAGTATTAATATTGTAAAATATTTTACAGCACCAATAAATATAGTAATGTGAAAATATACTAAAAATGTGGCTGTACAAACTCAAGACAAAGTGTGTCATTTAAATACAATTAGAATGTTGTCATCATCAGAGGACTGGAGAGGCATGGGCACAGAGCCAGCACCCTGTTTCAGTGAACACACTCTCAGGCCTCAAGTTTGAGGGTGGCAGCACAGAAGGTCAGTTCACATGAACAGCAGTGTACAGCTGGCACTTCTAGAAACACAGGTAGGATTCATGAAACAAAATGTGTCACTATACTGTGGAAAAAGTCAGAATCACTGACTTCGAGTCTGGACCCGTCTTCTGACCATTCCTGACAATATTGTACAGAGTCTCACAGGTAGTATATTTAGAAATTCATACCTTTAATACTATAATAATTTGTGTGAACAAATTAGTCATATTTTACTTCAAATAAATGATCATTCCATGTATCTTCATCCGTCAACATTCCTTGTGAAAAACAGTTTACATTAGGTGATTCAGCACAGCTGAAATAAACAGTGGACAATGAAAGGATGGATTTCTGAAGTACATGTATATACGTGTTTACGGTTTTAGTACAAGTTATTATTTCAAGGGCATAAATGACTAATTCTTGCACCAGAGTACCTCAACACCAGCCAGGCTCCGTGAGATAAATGAACTGAATTATTTTTTCTCATGTTGAGATTTAGCAGCCTGCAGACAAACTGTATCACATGATCAGCTGATGTGAGCTCATATTTAAAATATTATATTTTATAAACATTATATTCAGTAGCACATACCTATTAATTACTAAAATTGTATCCCTTGCAATTTTACTGAATATATCCCATTTTGTCTCTATAATGGCTCATCAATGAGTAAGGTATTTTTCTCATATGGTAACAGTTTAGCATCAAAGTAAATGTTTGATTTGTGGCAAGTGGCTGTATCTTACTGAACCACACATGTGTAATACTTGGGAATGAGGAGGTAATGTTAGAGTCAGAGAGAAAACTGTGCCATTTCACCACTGTCAGACTAGAGGCCTCAGTCTGATTGGACAGTCTTCACTATATTAGGTCTGAGTTGAGCAGCAGCAACGAGACTCCTTCAGTCCTCCATATGACATGCCTTTGGGCGAACAAGTGCAAAACCATATGTCCCTCGCCCCAGTTCAAAATGAAAAACACCTGTGTTGGCGCATCATTCATGCACATGTTGGCTGTTGGGGTTTCTATCGGTCAACCGGCCCACCATAATCCCCCTCTAGCTTGTGAGAAACACAGCTTCAGTTTAAATCAGGAATGTCAAAGCATTGTCTTGCAGTCCTTTTTCCCACAAAAAAAGGAGTTTACAGTCATACGTGTTCTCCATTGAATCTCCAGACAGATTGAAACAGTTCAAAAAAATGACCTTACCACTGCATATAAATATCAGAATACTGAGCATATTCTATAAATGATATGTAGAGTACTAGACAGAGGGATATCTAGTAAGTATAAACAGATCACTTATGATCAACTAAGCTGTTGTGGATGCCTGACTATATCTTTGGAACACACACAAAGATATTAAATAAGGGAACTGGAAGGTTGTGGATTTCTACACTGAGGTGCTGATCTGATCTATGATCAGCATTTCTAGTCACTTCTTGTCTCCGCATATACCTACAGTAATAGCCCTTTAGACAGTCTGGTCTCAAGAGATTTTGTTAAAGGAACACAATAGCTCAAAATGCAAAAATAAAGTCTGTGCACAAAAAGAGATAAGTCTGTTTTCCCATGAGGGAGGGGTTACATGAGGGAGGCAGGACCAGGAACAGGTCTTGGTTTCTTACCCCTAATGCTGATGGAAACTTCAACCTTAAAACCAATATTAATTTTGGTCACTTGCCCACACATAGGCCCAACCCTAATCTAATTTTAACATTCACTAAAATCGTTTAACTTGCTAAAACGTAACCATTAGGTAGTTCAGTTCTTGCCATCATCACGTAACCCTTCCACGAGAGAAGATCATCTTCACATTATCCGTCACCTCGGCATATAACCTGCATCCACAGTCAATTCGGGAAACTTGTTAGGTGTCTTATTACACCAATTAGTCCATACAATGGGGAAAAAAACTTCATGTCACAGCGGAAACAGTATTTGGACCTGCCGTTCGGATCAAGCACAGCAGTTCCTTCACCTCCGCCTCCTCGTCCTCCCTCTGTCTCCACTAGTCTCTTCTGTCAGAGTTCGGAGGTGAGTTGGTCTGCTGCTGCACCGTTGAAGTTGTGCTCACCAGTTTTTGTTACTAATATATATATTTAAGATATGCATATCCACAGCAGACTAGCATCCAGTGAAGTGTTACAAAAAAGAACTTTCCATGAGCAGGAGGCTACCGAAACATTTCCCGTTCACACGCCAGTGGCGCATTCGTTTCTCTTTAAATAGTGTCTTTATATGTAGCAGCAATACACATTGTTGATGTACTTTTAGTATATGTACATATATATATATATATATATATTAATATTTTAAGGCGAAAACAGTCTGTGGAAAGATCTGTGTCAAGAATGTCCTGTCTTGCTTTGTCATTTTGTGTCCTTTCAGGGAATGCATCCTCAGGTTTCAAAGTGCTGTGCCAAGAAAGAAGTGTTGCCGGTCTCATCTCCTCGGTTTATCACATCTGTGGAAGACAAGGTGAGAATCTGGTTAAGTGACGAGCAGCAAATTGGTTTTTTTAAGCCTCATCTCCCAGAATATGATGAGCCAATGTCACACCCATGCAGATAAAGGGACTATTCAGAATCAGGGGCAAACAGGAAACAGCAATGGACAGTGAGGGAGGTTGGGGGATGGGGGAGAGATGATCCGATCAGTTTTAACCTCCTCGTACTTTCTCTGCTGCATACAAAATGTACTCTGATATTGAGTAAAACAAACACTTGATTTAATCTGCACATCACATGTCTCTATGTTGTCTCAGGGTTCAGGGGGAGGGGTTCTATCTGGAACTGGGGGTGTGGTGGAGGCGAGCAGTGGGGGCGAACCCTTAGGTCCCCTCCACTCTTCCTCCTGAAGTGTGTGGCTCTCTGAATCCCAAGCAGTGTGGGGGGTCCCTCGGGGTCAGGTGGAGTCTCCACCTTGTTAACTAGCTATGTGCTGCACACGTGGTCGGGAGACCACTTTAACTCCTTTCATCCGAACACCATCGGCTCAAAATGACCAGCAAGTCTGTAACAAAGCAGGATGAAACTCTCCTCCCTCACAGGTAGATCCTTATTTCTGCCTTCACCTCAATACAATACAGGTCAATGACATGACACAAAACACAGGGGGCGCTATGGGGGTGAGACAAAGGTCCCTGGCCAGAGTGTTCATGTGTTGAGTTACGGTATATGCACCTCAAGCATTCATATTCAGCCTTCTACTGAGGGAAGAATGCCAATAAAAAGAGCTCACAGTGAAGTCTGTGGATTGTTACGAGTAATGGTGAAACAATTTCTGCATAAAGATGTTGCCATCATTTTTCAATGTTTTGAGAAGCACAAAGGAAACTGTATTCAGCTGTGGCAGTAAATGGATAACTTGAAACATGGGACAATTAAAACTGTCGGAGTAAAAAAATATGTGGGAAGCAACCCTTTAAAGGTTGCTTTTTGTACTGTAATTATTATTATGGACATGGTAATAATGATATTACTGATATTATATTTTTCCTGCTGACATCTGTCCTAACTTCAAGTCCAGCCATGTTCTGACTGTTGATTAATGAAAACATTCTTGGCAAATGCTTTCGCTTTCGTCCGTCTTGCGCCGGTCCAAGAATTTCACCTCTAGCGGCACAATGCAGCTGCAACTTAGAAGTTGCTCTCTGACAAATTACCAGTTATAAAAATACTGTATGAACGCGGCTTTGCTTTTTACTTTCCATTTGCAATTTTTTCATGTTTGGATGGGCTGGGCCAATCCTCTTAAAATGCCCTTTCTTTTGTCATCCAGCTAAAACAAGGTCACTTATTGAACTAAGAACATTTTTCTTACTTTACCAAAAACATCATTGAGTTTTTCACTCAACAACAAGTAATGGTGAAAACAATCAACAAATGGAAAAATCATTTCCAGTTCTGAATAAAGGCTGCTGGTTGCTTCATCCAGACTGACTGAAATGGGGTATTTGGGTCTGGGAGTTTTGAACCATAACATCATTACAGATGTTTGAAGTAACATCATTTCATGCCAACATCTTAAACATTCAGGGTGGACATTTAACATTTAAATCTGATGTTACCTTTGCATCCTGTAAGAGATAGTGAGAACACAGAGAAGCACCGAAACGTATGTAATGTATAAACACCAACACAACACCAAAAAGCAGGGAGAAGCATGCATTTCTCAGGAGGAAATTATTTTTGCTGGAAGCACAGAGATGGGAAGGAAGGAAAAACCTTGTTTACGGTGTATGTATGGTAAACAAACCTGCAAGTTCTTTCGTTTAACTCAAGTTGCCTGGACTTGCAGTCTAATTGTGTGAATTTGCAGGAACATTTACAGGTGAAAGGGTCCTGCACAAACAAGCGCTTCCTTCTCTCTGAGCAAGGCACACAGTGGCTGCAAGGGAAGCAAAAAGGGAGAGAGAGAGAGAGAGCAAGAGAGAGAGATCTAAGCTATAGAGCGAATTCTACAGAAAGGGAAGACACAGCCCCCCCCGCCCCCAACACACACACACACACACACACTTGATGTTTTGATGGGCCACACACATTATGTGTAGAAGGCCCATGCCTTTCTACTGAAGGTGTAGTTCTGGAACTCTATTTTAACAAGAACACAAATGACATCATATTGAAAGTGAAAGGGTCATTTATGTGCTGTAAAAAATTAAGGGATTTCATGTTGAAATGCATTAATGGAGCCAAAGCTAACACTTTATCAGTCTGTACATGGCAGGCGATGAGGAGATGAGGTGATGAGGAGATGAAAAATGAAAACATTTTGACGTTGAGGTAGACATTATATTTGTTGCAGTATCTGTCACAGTGCTCAGCTTATGAGATTGAAGGTCACACCAGAGCCACAACAAGGACAGAACTAGATATATACCACTAGTTGCTATGGGGAAAAAGTAACTTTGCTTTATAGAACTGTTCTTGCTTTGCACAACACACCCAAACCGTAGGATCAATTCCGTGTCCAATTTTAGAGCTCCTAAAAACAGAAGTTATTTGTGAAGCTGTCAAGGCTACACACTGTGCTTTAATTCTGGACTTAGCTGTTGTTGCCATCTATCCTTTGAAACAAAATGAAACATGGCAACATACAGAAAAAAGAAGCAGCAAGCAGCTATCAGGCCAAAAGACATCCTTAAAGAAAAAAAAGACCGCTTCTCATAAAGAAAAGGGCAAATTCATTTCACATGGAGTGGAATGTTGTTGCAGATATAGAAAAGGACACAGGCAACACATGGAACAAAAGGTTAATTTTGAACATACCATGCTGACGCCACATACTGCCGCATTGGGCCAGGCATCAACAATGCTGCTGTCACAGCAAACAGAGGAGGCAGGAGAAAGAGAGGAGACACCTGAGCAGATGCAGGGTTCAATCAATCGCTGATTAAGCCAAACAGGAAGTAGTCAACCAACAACATCTGGTCTGCCCAACTGTATCAGAGTGTATGTTTCACACTCCTTTGCCACAGAGTGACCTACGTGCACAAAGACAGGTAGACATCAACAAGCTCAATTTAGCTCAGCATCATTAGCTCACATGATCCCATCTCTCCTCCACCATGCCGTCAGGATTTAACCTGTACCCTTTTAAGTTAGACCAGCTGACCTACTGCTGAGGAGACACACACTAACCAAATGCATGCACATGTCAAACACACACAGCCCTATGTCAACTGTGACAGTGAGCGAGTTCCCTTAGTCAAGGAAGACACCGTGGCTCGTCTCCGAGCTCAGCCTCTATTTACACCACTAAAAGTAAAAAAGGTTAACTGCATGACACCTGTTGCTATAATTAGACTGGAAGTAGCGGAGGGTCAGGTTTGTGCAACTGGAGTCAGAGCGCAGACAGCAGTGGGTGGTCACTTACGATGTTATGGCCGCACCATAAAGTACTAAACCCGGTGCCATAAAAAGAGCACGCTCAAAGTGTAAAGATAGGACCTGAAGGCCCGACGCGCTACCTCCACCATCTACAGCAAACAGGACTGCCTCCGCTGCGGCAGCACCGAGCATGCTCACTCTCTGTTGAACTAAATTTAACGGGCCACAAACTGAAATATATCCTTTGCAAGTCTGTGCACAAGCAAGTTCTTTTTCATTTAGTGACCACAACGTGTCCGTAGCATTGAGCACTGGAATCCAGTGTTCGCTCAAATTGTCTTCTAAATCTTATTTTCTTATTCTTTGACCAGATTTGCCATTAGACTCTAAGGGGGTTGTTTGAGTTCTCCCCCATGTTTAGACTTCATGTCATTTGAGTCCTTTGGAGTTTTGCAATAAAAGAAATAAAAGCATTTTTGAGTATTGTTTTGGTAGGAAAAGCATCCTGTCATGGATGTCTCAACACTCTTCATTATGTAGAGCTGAAGCTAAGTGCATCTCAACATCCCGCTCTGCTCCAGAACAACAAGCCATCAAACTTTCACATAGCGCCTTTATAGTCGTCCCACCACTCTGATTAGTAGTGGGAGCCAGAGCCCCATCGACCAACATAGAAAAAAGACAACACCTACTTACTATTGTTTCTTTGCTTGAACATCTGGCTTTAGTCTGAAATGACAAAGAGGAAGATGATTTAGTTTTTTGCTATGATTGCATCTCTGCCAGTGTGTGTGAGGGCTACAGTCTCTTACCTGCAATCACACTTTTGATGCTCTGTGAAACTTAAGTGAATAGTGTGCTGCATTACCATTGGTCTAAACCGCATCACCTTGAGGAGAAACAGAGGACATAACAAGGCAATATTGAGATTAAAACAAAATCAGGCTACAGTCTAAACCCCTCAGCTCTGACCTGTCTGTCTCACTCTACGTCCCTCTGTGTCCATGGAGACAACATGTCTGAAATGTCTCCTTCATGCTCTCCATCAGTGGGTGGAGTTAGCTCAGTTCTTACAATGTGACCTAGCTATGGAACTCCATACTTAGATCACGTGATGACAACAGAGCCATCTCCATAACAAGCAGGCAAAGTCCATCGGCTGATGAAGACCATGCGATGTAGTTGAAAGTAAACCTTGTGTTGAGATTACTTTGTCAAACTACTACTTCTATGGTCAATAAGTAGAAATAGCTTGAATTACTTGGTAAGTGAGCTTGAATAAAGAGAAAATAAAGAGTAACTAACAGTATTGGTGGAGTCATATTGTGTGCCTAAGTGCTTGCATGAAGTCCCAGAGTTGTCTATTAAGGTGTCCATTTTGTTCATCAGTTAAGTTCAGGAGGACGCAGTCATCCCCTGGGCTCACCTGCAACGTGACATTGTGAGTTTCCGTGGGAACACACTCCATAGCTTCATCGTTGCAGCAGCCTCCACAGCGGTTGAGGACGATACAGGAAGGAACATAGGTGTGTTCTGTGTCCTCCGGATACTCCTGGAAGATGTCCACCAGCACCTCTCTGGGCTGACACATACTCTTGGTGATGACATCTGGGAGAAGAATGACTAAAAAAAAAAAAAAAAAAAGTGATTATTTTTTTATCATCGTCATGAAAAAAGATGATGATCTTTACTTTTACACAGCCAGGGCAAAACAGAATAGAAAAGCTTTATGTAATAATGAATACTTATCAAATCAAAATCACAGATCTGTGACCTGAGCAGCATCAATGACACCTGTTTTTGCTGCTGACAATGTGTACAGTGTTCCTGGAGAATGAGTCTGTGCCTGGCAGCCTACCAACCATTTGGTGAAAATGGAAATTACATGGTAGACGATGCTCTATTAAACTCCCAGTAATGTGTGCAAAAGTAGAAAAGGTTAGATTCCAAGATACTAGGAGTAGACGACTTGGGCTGTATAGTCATGTGACAGATGAGTAACACAACAGACATCAGTGATTATTTCAGTGGCTCTGATCACAATAATGCAGCTGCACAGAAAGATGCCACCTTCACTGAGTTGGTATGGAGACGCTACATGTTGTCATATGAATGTTTGACCTTGGAATGAAATGATATCAACTGCAGGTGGATTGTGGATATATACGAGCATTATTCATTTTGACTTCCCCTATGCAAAACGTAACATGACACACAAGCATTATTTAATATCTGGAAATGAAGAACAGGAAATTTCATACCAGTGTCTGATAGAGCCCTACACCAACTGAGTGACCTGCCAGCCCTCTGTATTTCCATTCCCTCTGCAGCCCAGAATAATCCATCCCACAGTCCATCACACTCACTCCCAGCGACCTTTGATAACTCCTGACCCCTGGTCTGTCAGAGCAGCCGTGATCTCAGGCACTGTGGCGCCAGGGTCCACCTCTGACATGAGACCCAAGGAAGCCCACCCCTGTGCAAGCTCTGCCTCTAGACCAGGGGTCGGCAACCGCGGCTCTTCAGCCCCTCTATTGCGGCTCCCTGAGGCTACATCCACACTAATACGTTTTGACAAACAAAAACGATCTCCGTCCACATAGGGTTTCAGCATCGTTTTCGAAATGATCTCCCTCCAGACTAAAACGCCTGAAAATGAATATCACATGACTATTAACGTACACTGGGCATGCGGGTGGGTGCCGGTGTAAACAGGAAGTAGTTTGGTTGCCTAGTTAAAAAAATACGACAGAGTAATAAAGTAGTCTTTAACAATGACTTAAAATCTTCCTCTATAAACTCAAACAGACACATTTCGTGGAAAGTTTTAGAAGTTTTATTTTTCAGGCTTAGTTACAACACTGCTGGTCTTGCTCTATCTCTCTCTCTCTCACACACATCAAATTTACTTTAAAATTAACACTTGGTTTCATTGTTTCTGTTCTGACTCGTAGCTCTGCTGGTGGCTGAAGTCTCTGTCCTACTGGAGAGCAATTCATGTCTTTTTCCTTTATAGTTTATGTGTGTGGACTTCACAATAGTTGTGCAGAACAAAATAAGCATCCATAAGGACAGGAAAGTCCTCCGTTTTGTGTCCGTCCTCCTCAAAGCCACTAACCGTGACTTCAGACGTCTGCTCCGTCGCGCTGATAATGCCGCTGGACACGCTGCTCACTGATCGCTCCATTAACAGCTGCTTCCTCCGCATAAATGCAGACTTTAACTGAACAACAGCTGCTAGTAAAGACAACAAGGTCAGCAACACCTGTAATCAGTTGTCCATGTTGAATTAACCTGGTAGTCGATCGGTAATCACGGCTGTTGTTGTTTGTGATCTTCCGGGAAAGGGTCACGTGATAGGGGCGTGATAAATCAGGGAAGGAACGTTGTGGCTGCTAAGAACCGATCAAGTAGTGAACATGGGTGTCTACATCATCGTTTCTAAACTTATGCGTTTACGAGCGTCCACACGAAGAGGCAACCCCGGAGTTTTAAAACTCTTCCGTTTTCAATGCACGACAACTCCAGCGTAGTGTGTACGCTCAGTGTAAACGTAGCAGAACATGCGTTTTCAAATGGAAACGGAGTAGTGTGGACATGTCCTCAGGCTTTGAAAAAAAAAAAAAAAACATGGAAATAAATAACGGTTATTTAAATTTTATTTTTTGCACAGTGGACAATCTTTCAAAGGGAACACCTCTTATCTTGGAGTTTGAGGTGATACTGTGTCACTGAAAATAAAAAATGTTTTAATATTTTGTCAACTAAAATGTGCGTCACATCGTATTATGTCGCTGTCAAGAGCCTTTCCCTGCAGGTGGATAATCATGATTTGCAGACCCCCGCCCTCAGTAAACTATCAATGGATAAATCCAAAAAAAGAAAAGTCACGGAGGAAAATAGAGAGTTGAATTCTGCGTGGACGTATTAATTTGCTTTCACTGCCAACGATGCTGACAGCAGACATGAGCAGCTATAACAGACATGAGCAGCTGTAACAGCAGACATGAGCAGCTATAACAGACATGAGCAGCTATAACAGACATGAGCAGCTATAACAGCAGA